CTTGCCAGCCCCCAGAAATCTCTAAAAATAAATAAATAAATCTCCAGTTACTAGTTCCATTTTCCAAGTGAGAGGCTGGAGGCTCAGGAATGTAATAAAGATTTAAGCATTAATTGTGCTCCTGCTGTATACAGATCCTATCCCTGTGTCTTTGCATATAGGATCTCATTTCCTCCCAGAGAGTCCACTTACAGACACAGGTGACTGCTAGGAATTCCCACAGGTGGGTAAGTTGCAGTCAAGAAACCCCACTCTCTGTCCATTGTCTTTAAGGGGCTGATGCCACACACACCGCCCCTGCCTCTATATTAAGAGTGTCCACAAGGCCAGGTGTGGTGGCACATGCCTTTAATCCCTGCACTCAAGAGGCAGAGGCAGGGGGAATTCGAGGCAAACCTACTCTACAGATCGAGTTCCAGGTCAGCCTCGAGATGGGAAAAAAATTTTAAGAGATAAAGAATACGTGGTTCAATCTGGCCAATCAGCACACAGTATTCTTTTTAGCTTCAGCCAATTGGCTTAACACAAAGGCCTATGATCCGATCTGGTCCAATGGGATAGCCCCTCCCTTTTGGGTTGCTGGATTCAGCCCAAACACACCGCCAATCCAAAGCAAAGCTCACGGAGGAAGAAAAAGAGGCCCAGGGATCCCAGCACACTGAATCTCCTCAAAAACCATGCTACAGCCATTCCTCCTCCTCTTTAAATTGGTATAACTGAGGTTCTGTCATTTGCCACTAGCTGTTCACCATAGCTCTTGAAGATCGCTAAGTGAGAATCTCCTTGCCACCAAATGCACTTGCCCAGAGTGAATCTGGAAGCCAAATAAATACTCAAGCCAGGGTATCAAGGTTCTGTTACTAAGGGACAAGGCCCTGGATGCTGAAATGGATGGCTTTCGTCTAAGAAGAAAGTCTTAATGAAAAATTATCTAGACCAGGCTGGCCTGTGGGCATGTCTGGTGGGGAGAGGGGTGTCTTGATTGTTGGTTGAGGCGGAAAGACCCACCCTAAATCTGGAAGGCATTATTTCACACACTGGGCCTCTGACTATATAAAACAATGGTTCTCAACCTTCCTAAAGCTGTGACCCTTTAATACAGTTCCTCACGTTGTGGTGACCCCCAACCATAAAATTATTTTGTTGCTACTTCATAACTGTAATTTTGCTACTACTATGAACCGTAATGCAAATGTCTGTGTCATCCATCCCTCTTTGCTCTTGACTGTGGGCACAGTGCTCTAAGTTCCTGCCTTGACTTCCTCACAGTACGAATTGTAAACTGGAAGTGTGAGCCAAGCAAACCCGTTCTCCCCTAAGTTGCTTTTGTCGGGGTCTTTGCCACAGAAACGGAAATGGAGCTAGAACAGATGGCTCTCTCTGTCCCTGGCTGGATGAGGTAAGGAGCTGGGCCATCTGTTCACATTTGCTCCTCCCCAGATGGCTAATGGAGTCATGAGGCAGGGGTGATGGGTTTGCCTGACCACTCTGCCTGCTGGGGTCAGGATACACTAAAGCGGTCCCTCAGCAGGCTTGGGTTCTCTGCCCATTCATACCCACCAGGATCAGCTTAAAGAGCTGAAGGAGTCCGTTGTCAGTCTGTCTCTCTGGCCCATGCAGCAGATCTTTAAATGACTGGAACATCTTTACATCATAAAGAGCTTGAACTAAGCACAAAATTCATTTATGGGAGAAAACAAATTCTGAGAAAAAAGCTCTCTCTGGGGGTGATCCGCAATGAGTGTGCAGTCCGAAGGAGTAGCTTGTCCTCATTCCTGGATAATACAATAGAAATAACAGCAGCCCCAGCGCCTGGCTGTATATGTATGTAACCAAGCACTCACCACCCTGGGCTTATTAAAGGCAACTCTCAAATTCTGCCATCACTGTGGGTAAAGCGCTTGCCACACAAGCCCGACGGCCCGAGTTCAATCCCAGAGCCCACACAAAGGTGGAAAGAGAGACCCAGTTCATGAAGTCATCCTCTGATCTACACACAGGCATCACACACAATAATAATAAACATACTTTTTTAAAAGCTCTCTGCCTAATGAGGAGGTTAAACAAAAAACAAAAAAAAAAGATTAGAAAGAAGATGGCCAGTGCCCTCAACACAAGGGAGCTAGGGCCCAGATAAATGGAGGTAATGCCCAAGGTCACATTTACAGCTCCTAGTGGGGCTGTTGTTAGACTTGCATCAGGAGGTGAAGGAAGCTGCCTGTCTCTAAAAGTCAAGGCACAAGTGGGACAGTTGCAGTGACAAGTTCAAAGGACACCAGACCGGTGTGAACTATCTCCAGCGTTGGATTCACCTATAGGCAAGACAAGAAGGTGACTGAGTGATAGCATCCAGCCTTGGCAGAGGGTCACCAGTGTGTCTCAGGGTAAGAAAGAGTCTGGAAGGGGCCGTGGTGGGGAAAGTGAATGCGTGCTTGGAGCTTGCCACGAGCCTGTCAAGCCCTCCTTTGAGGCAGCACCATTGCCCGACACATACACAACTAAAAAGCAAAGTGAGGTTCAAATTGGTGTTCATTTAGCTCGTGCCAAGTCTTGGCCCATCATGGTTGTTATTATTCCCATCCCCCACCCCACCCCTGGCTGGAGGCTAGGCAACTCACTGAGCTATACCCCAGACCCTTTTAAATTATTTACTTTAGGTTGCCAGGCTGACACTGAACTCATATTGGAGCCCAGAAGCCTTTGGTCTTCCGGCCTCAGCCGCCTAGTGTTTCATGTATTTTTGTTCCATTTTGTGAACAAAAGAAAGGCCAAACAATCTACTCGGGGATCAAGAGAGCCAGAGAGGGACTAAGTTAGGACTGGACCTTCCTCTCCCATACTTCAAACACAGAATTCTAGATGATTCTTGAAGCAGAGCTCACACAGCAGACAAAGCACCTCTCGACGCAGCTGGAGAAGCTGACAGTACAGGTGACCCCCTCAGTCCCCACACAGGGGTCACCCCCTGCTCCCACACAGGGGTCACCCCCTCCGCCCCCACACAGGGGTCACCCCCTCCGCCCCCACACAGGGGTCACCCCCTCCGCCCCCACACAGGGGTCACACCTTTATTCCCCACACAGGGGTCACCCCCTCTGCCCCCACACAGGGGTCACCCCCTCCGCCCCCACACAGTGTGACCACAGGAAGCCCCTAGCAGTGGAGTCCCCTAGTACACGGAGGTGTGCTGGAGCTAACTGAGGAGCAGCTCACAAGAGCCAGGTGAGATTTGGGGACTTTTGTGAGCCAGGTAATAGTATGCCAACGATTTAAAACTGGTCACAGCTGAAATATTTACACAATAGAAATAGACTAATACTATACATCAAGGACTTTAAAATTTTTTCCAAGAGAGTTATTTGTTAAATGTTTTCCAACATGCTGCTGGACTTGGGAGACACAGTTCTGACCCATTCATCTATCTGTACATCCATCCATCCATCTATCCACCATCTAATCATTCGTTAATCCATTTGTGCATTCACTCACTCATCCAGTCATTCACTCAACCTCCCATCCATATATATATATATATAGTGGCAATGCCACTATATATATATACATATATACATACATGTATATATATATGCATGTTGACCCATAATATAGATTGCATTCACTCTCATATATGTTCAACAGATGTGTGCTTTGTGATCTACTCTCTTCCAGGTTCTGTGCTAAGCATTGATAATTCAACAGAGGACCTACATTCATGGACTTCACAATTTACAAACTAAGGAAAGAGTTGGATTCTACACCCAAATAAAATTCTCTTTACAATGAGAAGGAAATTAGCCAAGCTAAGCTGGTCGGTGGGGTCGGAGAGACACCAGGGAGAGGAAAGGACATGTGTAAAGGGCTATGGCAGGAGGAAGCCTGGGGTGCAGAGACGCAGAGACAGGCTTCGGGTCACTTCCTAAGCCTCAGGCTGTCCGCCCTAGGCCACCCACATCCACATCCAAGGTCTACGGATTTCCACCCTCATTTCCTCCTCAGACCCTTCCTGGACTCAGTTTCCAAGTGAAAGCCAAAACTGGAGGTGATATCCAGGCCTGGTGCTGCAGAAGGAGAATTGCAAATCCAAGGTCTGACAGAGCTACGGAGTCTGTCAGGCTAGCAAACAGTGAGACTGTTCAAAACAAAGGCTAAACAGAAGAGGTAGAGGGATAGAGTTCGGTGGAAAAACATTTGCCTAGTGTGAGCATGGCACTGAATTTAGTGCCCAGTAGTGAATGGGGGTGGAGGTTGAGAGAAGTTGAAAGTACCAGCTTCACAGAATCAACTAGAGACAGCAATGCGAAGCTCCTGGACAACTCAATAGATGAAACTACTCCCTTTGTTCCCTTCCTTCCACAAGTGCCATTCAACGCTTTTCCTCTCTTGTGTTGAGCCTCTCTTCTCTAGGGAGCCTCAGGCCCTGGGGGGGGGGGGGGGGGGTGCTGGGAAAGCCAGACACCAGCAAGGCACACGCAGTGGCCCTCAGACAACAGCCCGTTCTCCACCTCCTAAGCACTTGCCTTGAATCGCCCCACATCCTTCCTACTGACAAGCTGACCCTCTTGTCTACTAGACAAGCCCTCTCATCTGGCCTTCAGCATTCAAGGATGTTCAGATGCCGGTGTGGGCTCCCCCCACCTTCTTTCATGCTGATTACCACGGAAATGCAATTGCTCCAGCAGGGAGGACCACTCTCCGCAGCGAGTCTGTGAGGGCTTAGAGGGCATAGCCTGGATCTGGGTTCTCATTCACCAAGTTGCTTTGTAGGTAGGACTGTAGGACTGTCGGTTGGTTGGACGAATTCTACGCAGATTCTAGGTAGAGCAAGAGCGGCCCCGCCCCCTACCGTAGCCCGGTTCTTGTCTCAGGCCTGGTAGTCAAAGGCCCCCCACCGCCATCATGCCCACTGCAGTTCAGGAACCCAAGTTTGAAGAAGAGCATCATAACTGAGAGGCGGAAAGGGCTGTTCCCTCCCTCCATTCATCCACTATCCCCAGACTCACTGAGAAGCTGTCGGCTGGAGTCGCTGACGGTCACATTCTCCTGCCAGAAGGGGTTCATCAGCGGCGTGCAGGAGCTCTGGCCTGATGGGGGGGAGGAGTTCAAAGACAGGACCCTGGCTTTCTCTCTCCCACAAAGCCGCCCTAGATGTCTCCCACCCAAGAAAGCAAACCGAACACTGTGCTCCTGCGAACCGAGCTGGACACCGCCTGGAGCACTTGTGCAAACCAGCCTCTCTGTCCACCCTCCCCGCACCTCTAAGTGCTTGGCCCTGTGAGCTTGGAGGTTGAGAGAGGAGTGTAAGCCAAGCAACAGGTCCCAGGCTTGCAGGTATGGCACCCCGGTGCGAACGCGGACACCTGGGGAGGACCCTTACCCCGGCAAGTCCGCCAGAGACCGGAGTGGGAGCTCAGAGGCTCCAGCTGGCTGCGGTTGGCGGGTCCCTGGCCCTGCGCCCCCGGACTGCTCTTCTCCAGCCTCTCGGTGTCGATGATATACCAGAAGTCGGTGCCGATGGCGGCCGCCAGCAGCACGAAACTGAGCGCCCCACTCAGTGCCGCCGCGCCTGCCAGAGCGCCCAGGCGCACCCGCATCTCCCAGCGTAGGGCCCCTAGGCTCCTGCCCACGCTCCCCTTCTCTTCGCTGCACCCCGGATTCTCCAACGCGGATCTAGAACCCGGCTCGAACTCTGGCTCCACCACCCTCACCTGAACGATCACACTCGCACGTGTTCCGGCTTGGACCCACGATTTGATTTCAGGGTTCCCTGTCCTCTCCGACCTCCTCCCTGGTGCCTTCCGATCCCCCCTGGAGCACGGATCCCAGGCCAGCCCCGTCGCTGTCTCCTCACTCAGCTCTCCCCTGGGTCGGGTGCACAGCCCCAGCGCCTTCCACCTCCTAGCTCAGCACTTTTCTCCCCAGACCCCCCACTACTGCCTCCACTTCCTTGTCTCACTCTCCATGAACGCCCGCCCGGTTGCTCCCGCCTCTGTCGGCTTCAGGCCTCCTTGCTCTCCCCACACCTCTGCCCTGACCCCCTCACTGCAGCTCAGGTCTACTACCGCTTCCCACAGCTCTGGTTCAGGGCCAGTGTGCCGAAACCTCGGGAAGATTGGCTCCCAGGGCAAGCAGGCTGGACTGAGGGAGGGGCCAAGTGCTGGAGGGAGGGGCGGACTCCAGACACTCTGGAAACAGAGAGGGGGTAACACTCTCTGGTCTGGGGGTACAGATTCTCCTGCGATGCCATCCCCTGAAACGATTCTGATTCCAAACTCCACCTTCCAGTAATTTTTCTGGGCTGGCTATAAAGGAAAAAGTTGAATTTGGGGGTTTGGGGGGTTGTTTGTTTGTTATTTTGTATAAAAAAAATCTTTGAAGTAGGAAAGGCCAGGCTCTGTGAATCTATTTTCTTTGTCACCAAAGTCTTCATCCTCACAGCCACCACCTCCCTCACCGCTTTCCCACTCCCATCACCTCCATCATCATCACCTCCATCATCACCACCTCCATCATCATCACCACCACCACCTCCATCACCATCACCACCTCCATCATCATCACCATCATCATCACCACCTCCATCATCATCACCACCACCTCCATCATCATCATCACCACCACCTCCATCATCATCACCACCTCCATCATCATCACCACCACCTCCATCATCATCACCACCTCCATCATCATCACCATCATCATCACCATCATCATATCATCACCACCACCACCTCCATCACCACCACCACCTCCATCACCATCACCACCTCCATCATCATCACCACCTCCATCATCATCACCACCACCTCCATCATCATCATCACCACCACCTCCATCATCATCACCACCTCCATCATCATCACCACCTCCATCATCATCACCACCACCTCCATCATCATCACCACCTCCATCATCATCACCATCATCATCACCACCTCCATCATCATCACCACCACCTCCATCATCATCACCACCACCACCTCCATCATCATCACCACCTCCATCATCATCACCACCACCTCCTCCATCACCATCACCACCTCCATCATCATCACCACCACCACCTCCATCACCATCACCACCTCCATCATCATCACCACCTCCATCATCATCACCACCTCCATCATCATCACCATCATCATCACCATCATCATATCATCACCACCACCACCTCCATCATCATCACCACCACCTCCATCATCATCATCATCACCACCACCTCCATCATCATCACCACCTCCATCATCATCACCACCACCTCCATCATCATCACCACCACCACCTCCATCACCATCACCACCTCCATCATCATCACCACCACCTCCATCATCATCATCATCACCACCACCTCCATCATCATCATCATCACCACCACCTCCATCATCATCACCACCTCCATCATCATCACCACCACCTCCATCATCATCACCATCATCATCACCACCTCCATCATCATCACCACCTCCATCATCATCACCACCACCACCAACGACAAACACCCCACCTCACCCCACCATAACCAACAACCACCTCCATCCTCACCAACAACCACCTCCACCCTCACTCCACCATCACCAACAACAGCCACCAATCACCGCTGTTGCCAGCAGCAGCACAAACACCATCACCATTCTTTCTGCCTTTGTCAGTGTTCCCATCTTCTTAATCAGCACACACTTCCCATCCCTTCAAGAAATACTTGCAAAGCCAGCCTGTCTGACCCAAGGGCCCATGTCGAGAAGGAAAGCACGAGCAGCCCAGGCACAACCTAGACTTCCCAGCCTTCAAGCAAGACATCCAGAGAAAATACCCATGTGTGTGGCATATGAAAAGGAAGGAAACAGATTCTAAGAGACAAAGACAGCCTGCCTTGGGGGCTACAGCTGTCAAGAGCCCTCATAACTGCCTTCATGGCTGAGGGGGGTCAAACCCTTGGCACTGCTGTGATATATTCCTAAAGACTGCCACACTAAAGTCCAATAGTGAGCAGGCTATGGCCAAGCCCAGGATCATTAAGGCCTGCTGAGAACATCTGGAGTAATGGTAGTGGGGTGTATAACCACAGGAGAGGTCTCAGGAGGAAGTGACATTGATTCTGAGACATGGAAGACACAGGCTATCGTGCCTATAGAAGTGTGAAAGCTACATCCCAGATAAGCTGAAAGAATCCAGTGAGAGAAAGGAGCACAGAACGAGATGAGAGGGCGGAGGCCAATGGTTTGCAGGTCTGCAGATTCATGAGGGGACTTGGAACTTCAGAGCCCCCAGGACTGAAAGTTTAAATCACTGGACAGTTTAAAGCAGGAAACTGAAGTGTTCTAAAGTACATGGTGTGTGTGTGTGGGGGGTGCAAACCCCTCCATCTCTGGCTGTTAGTGTGCACCACTGAACGGCAAGAAGCAAGAAAAGCTGAGGAAGTGAGGGGGCTGTGGAGATGGGTTAGCAGGTAAGAGCCCTTGCTGCACAAGCACGAGGATCTGAGTTCAAATCCCCAGGATGCACATAAAAAGCCAGGCATGGTCACATGCACTTGTAACCCCAGCTTCGGGTGGGAAGGGCAAAGACAAGAGGACTACCAGGGCTTGCTGATTGCCAACCTAGCTCCAAATTCAGAGAGAAAGCCAGCCTGAAAACAACAAAGAAGTGCACACTTGCCCCCCATCACACAAGCCTCCATGGTATGTATGAGAATGTGCACACACACACACACACACACACACACGTGCATATACAACAACGCACGAAAATTTTAATGGGAGTTGGAAAGACATAATAGAAGCTAAGGACCCTGTAACTTGGGTGAGGCTAGTATCATGGTGAACAGAGGGGAAATGTACACAGTGTCTTGAAAGGTTAGACTTGATAAGGATAGTAATGTGGAGAATTACACTGTCGTTTTGCTCATCCCCAAAGCCATCTTAATCTTCATCCTTCTCATCTCCATCTCCAGCAGCAGCAGCAGCAGCGTTAACCATAACTAAACTCTCAGCATCACTTGCTCTTGGTTGGCTTTCTCAAAGCCACTAATTGTGGAAGTCACACAGCTGGGCAGTTCATTTCTAGTCTCCCACTGGTTTTGCTGTTAATGACACCTCTGACTAAAGCCACCTAACGAGCTGAACATGTTTCTTCAACAAATGTTATCTCTTCCATCCTCTGAGGCAAGCGGCTTTTCTCTGCATCCCCTGATCCTTCGGGGAGAAATTAATATCTTTATATCTTTTCCTGTCCCCTGAATCAAAGACACCTTTTGTACCCCAAGCTAACACAACAGAATAAACTGTCCTTGGGAGGACATCAGTCATGGGACCTTTTCTTCAGATCTACAGAACCCAGAACAGGACTTGTAGATAGCAGCAGCCCATGAGCCAGAAAAATAGGTCCTCTCCCCTGAGATTTGTAACCACCCTGTGATTAGTGATTAGACCATTGCTGGCCTATCTGACACATCTCCCCACAATTCCCTCATGCCTGAAACCCCTAGGGAAACCTTGGGGAAACTGGCCTTAATTGCACAGATCTTTATTCTTGGGACAGCAGCTTGTCCTTGTAAACTTGGATTCATAGTTACAAGCTAACAGAGCTATCAGCTGCAAAATGGATCTCCTTAGTCTGCATACCACTCTATGCCATCATCTCCACCCACCATCTTCCATAAGATCTTTCACCTGTCTGTCACCACTGACGGTGTGTGTGTGTGTGTGTGTGTGTGTGTGTGTGTGTGTGTGTGTGTGTGTGTGTGTACACGCAGGGAAGCTCACCTGTGAGTGTACATGTAAAAGCCAACTTTAGATATCTTCCTCCAACACTTTCCACTTCATTTGTTGCAACAGGGTCTCTCGTTGAATCTGAACATTACCATTTGAAGCTAGACTGCCTGCCCAGTAAGTCCCACCTGTCTCTGCTCCCCATCTAGCACTGGGGTTACAGGTGTGTTCCACCATGCTCGGCATTTACATGGGTGTACAAGGGATTCAGAATAGGTCCTGAGCTTACACAACAGCACTTTACACACTGAGCCATATTCCCACCCCCAAATTTTGTTTGCTTCCAAACTCTGTCACACATTTACCATCATTTTCATTTGAAAAATCATCCAAAAGATTCACACCATCAACTTTACAACTGTAAAACTCGACTACATCCCAGAAGGCCTAATGATTTGCTCTCTTTCTCTTTCTTCTTCTTCTTCTTCTTCTTCTTCTTCTTCTTCTTCTTCTTCTTCTTCTTCTTCTTCTTCTTCTTCTTCTTCTCCTTCTCCTTCTCCTTCTCCTTCTCCTTCTCCTCCTCCTCCTCCTTCTCCTTCTCCTCCTCCTCCTCCTCCTCCTCCCTCCTCCTTCCTCTCCCTTTTTTCCTCTCCCTTGACTTCAGACTCCATCCTTCTGTTTGACTCTCACTTGCAGCAGGGAGATGTGGCGCAGCAGCCCAGCAGAAGGAATCTCTCTTGATGGTGCCAACCAGATTCTCAAGAATACAAAGCTCATTGGCCCATTTTTGGTAGAATGCTCATCTTCTCTGGTTACGTGAGTCATCCCTATGGCTCTGAAGACTACTGTGTGCTGGCTGGTCACATTTGGGCCACCTGCAGAGTCCATTTGATTGAGGTGAGAGGCCACAGCTGTGGAAATAGAAAATAAGAACATAGATGCCCAATTAAATTAGACCTTCAGATTCCTAGTGGACATTTTTCACATGAGAATCTCCAAAGCCAGACACCACAGTGCAAGCTTAGGAGACTGGGGCCAGTTTCCAACATAAAGGGAGTTCAAGGCTAGTCGGCGTTATATGAAACCTTATCTCAATACCCCCAAATGGTATATTTGAGATATGCTTTTTAAAATGTGTTGTGTTGTTTGTCTGAAGTACAAATTTAATTAGTTACTCTGCATTTTATATGATGAGCCCAGTAGGCTCCAGTAGGAAAACCAACAAACATATACCAGAACCAACAATGTGAACAGTCACTAGATACCTTCATATCTATCAGGGGCATGTTTCCTAGTGAACTTCCATCGTGCTCCTCATTTGTAGAAGACATCGTTAGAGGTTTCTCTGCAAAGATAATTTTATAGGCTTTGAAAAATGTCATTTCCCCCAAGGATTTTAACATAACCTAGCTAAACTGTGCCCAGTCATTCTGAAAGGAACAATCAGTGGTGTTCTTAATAACGTTAAGGTGTGTGTTGTGTGTGTGTGGGGGGTCATATCAAACACTGTATAGCATCATGACTCAGCCAGTCAGCCACAGAGCCCTGAACAAACTCTCTGACTCCTGACACAGAAACTAAACGCCAGAGCACTGAAGGTGACCTTGTTACCAGGCACCCTGCTAACCAGGGACAGTTCATGCTGGATTCCAGAGGCTGGTACATGACTTAAATCAGCATCCAACAGGCTGTGTAAGGGCGAAGACCTTGCTTCCCTGAGCCCTGGTTTCCTCACCAACCCCAGAAGGACAGCACAGAGAAGAAATGAATTGCTGCTGTGTGACCGCCCTGTGTGGAGCTTCCGACCAGTGCCGTCACAGCCTCAGTCTGTGGGGTGCACCACTCACAGTGGAACAGGGCAGAGTTTTTAAAAAGAAATGGAGGAGGGAGGGTGTCAGGACAGACACGGGTGACAGCTAATCGTGGTTATCAACTTGGTTAGATCTGGAATCTGCTAAGAAACACACTTCTGAGTGGATCTGTCAGGGCACTTTAAGGGATTAGCTGGGGGAGAGGAGTGGCATTGCCCCACCCAGCTGTGAGAGCAGATGTGCAGAGGAATAGAGATCTGGGCAAAGAGCAGTGCCTCCGCTTGCCTGCCTGGCTTGGCTTCCTCCGGTGAGTGCACCTACCCTCCTCCCTTAGCTGCTGCGGCTGCCGCCATTGGCCATTGGCATTCTTTTTTTTTCTTTTTTTCTTTGGTTTTTACGAGACAGGGTTTCTCTGTATTGTTTTGGAGGCTGTCGGTCTGGCCTCGAACTCACAGAGATCCACCTGCCTCTGCCTCCCGAGTGCTGGGATTAAAGGCGTGCGCCACCACCGCCCGGCGCCATTGCCATTCATCATTCTCCACTGATATCAGAACCCAGCTTCAAGGAGTCTCCCAGCCCCTCAGTGCTCAATCTGTTGAGACTTGCAGCTTCGTGGACTGAGCTGCTACTGGGTTCTCAGGCTCTCTGGTGTAGAAAATGGGGTTGTTAATCTACCCAGCCCGTGGCAAGTAAGACAATTTAGTAAGTCTCCTCAGGTGGTATACATTCGTTCTGTCAGTTCTTCCCTCCAGAAAATCCTAACACCCCAGTGAGGTTTCTCTGTCACCAAGCAGCCTGGAGCATCACAGTCTGAGTCAACAGGACTCAGGCTTGGTTCTTCTCTTCCTTGCTGACCAGCATGGGAATTCAGGTAGGTCACTTTTCCTAAAGCCTCAGTTTACCCATCTGTAAAGTTCTGGTTGGCAGCATCCTTCCAGTCACAGGACCCTCTTCATGGCACCTGGCCTCTGTATGAGGACACCAGCCACTGGCTGCCCTGATCCTTGTGACCTCACCCGAGTTGAAAGTGTTGTTTCCAGGGATGTATTCTGGGGTTCTGGAGCCTGTGAATTTGGGGAGAACATTAGTCAATCAAGCACACAGACTGGACCTGATCTGCAGGGACTCAGGCCCCAGGGGTAGCCATCACTAACCCCTTTCTTCCTCTCTGGATCCAAGGAGCTGCTGAGGCAGAAATGGTCACTGCTTGTGTCTTCGTCCTACCCTGTGAGTCTACAGCTTGCTGGCTCCCTCATCCAGAATGAGAAGGCTCCTTTGTGTTTCCTCCTTCTAGAAAGCCTGCCTATTTGTAAGAAGATGAGCACAGGTGTGCATCTCTAGTCACAACTAAACTCTTGCACATGATGGACAAGGCCTCCCTCCGATGGACAAGATCTCCCTGCCCCGTGCTATCTCCTAGCACAACCTTGGAGTGCCTTTCACCTGGTGGGTACCAGTGCACCTGGGCAACGCCAAATCCTGGCTTGTTTCTCCGGCATCACATACCCATTCTTTAAGTTTCCTAGATATATGAAATTCTTTCTCACCTATGGGGCTTTCAACTACTGGCTCCTTAGACTGAAGTGTTCTTGAAACGCCTGGCTCTACTACCAGCCGGTGGAGGCCAACATTCCAGGGATGGTATGATGTGGGGGCTGGGGGGAGCTGGCAACAAGCAGCAAGAGAGCCCCCTCGGGTCCCTGTTCATCTTACAGCCAGGCACGATAGCACATGCCTGTATTCCCATTATTAAAAGGTAGAAACAAGAGGATCAGGAGTTCAAGGTCATCCTCAGCTACATAGCAAGTTGGAGACCTCATGAGGCTCTGCCTTAAACAAAAAATAAAAATAAAAGATGGAGATAAACCGTGGCTGGTCAAGGGCTTGCTTTGCAAGCGTTAAGACTTGAATTCAATCCCCAGAACCAACAGGGAAAACAAAAACCAACGAACAACAAAAAAAATGGAGGTTCATGCTTATAATCCCAGTCCTGGAGAGACAGAGACAAGTGGATCCCCGAGGCTCCATGGCCTATTCTGCCAGATCCAGGTCAGTGTAAGACCTTGTCAATAGAAAAGATAGATAGTGCCTGAGAAAAGACACCCAAGGCAGTCCCCTAGTCACCATACATATGCATATCTGTGCACATGTTCCCACCCACACATGCATCTGCACATATACCACACACACACACACACACACACACACACACACACACACACATATACACCTGCACACACATACAACTCAAAGGCCCCTTGCCTTGGGTTTGTAGGAGGCTCTGACAGGCATTTGGGGGCAGGGTAGACCAGATAGGCATATGCCAGGGAAGTTACTCATTTTGGGTGGTCTGTTTTCTTTATATAAATATAAAGAGAAATTACTAAGATTAATCTGGTCATGCAGGCTTCTCATCTCAGCTGTGCTGGAGGCTAAGCCAAGATTGTGAGTTCAAGGCCAGCCTGGGCAACTTAACAAGAGCCTATCTCAATTTTTTTAGGTGGAAGAAGCTGGGGAGTAAACATTAACCTTGTGAAGAACCCCAGGTCAACTACTAACACTGCAATAATAATAATAATAATAATAATAATAATAATAATGTAAGAGGGAAGGAAAAAAGATGAAAGTTGCTATGAGAAAACCTGTGACTCCTGTGTTTTTACTTTTCAGGAACAGCTGATTCTGCCCTTAGTTCTTAGGAAAATGAGGCATCTTTCCCCAGAGGATAGGCGATGGGGAGCAGCTGCTTTCTTCTGGAGAACAGTGGGGCTGAGGAAGTTTGCTCTGGAGAACAGGGAACAGGAATGCTTTGTGGAACACGGAGGGGATAAGGGTTTGGTTTTTAGTTGATTGGCCAACTAGTTAGCCTGATAGGGATTTCAAGGTCATGGTAGGCTACAGTGGGCTTGAGGCTGGTCTAGTTTGAATGACAGCCTGCCTAGAAAAACATAATCAATCAATCAATCAGAAATTGTTAGCTTGGGTTAATGGCCTCACCAAGGCTTGTTAAGATGGGACTGATGCCCACCCAGTCTCCTGAAGCCCTCCACTTTCAGTCTGTGCAGATAGCATCCTAGAACACGTTTGGTTCCTCGATGCTGAGGTGGGTAGGCAGGGATTCAATGCAAATTCCAGGCCAGGAGGGGTTACATTGTGAGATTCTGTCTCAAAATAAAACAGAACAATAACAAAACAAAACAAGCAAAAGGAAAACCAACCAACCCACCAGAGCTGGGCACGTGGTCCAGCAGCAGAGTGCTTGTTTGGTGTGTTCAAGGTCCTGGATTCCATTCCTACTCAGCCTGATGTATATTCTGTCTTTCCTCATGTGGCTGTCACCTAGCCCCACCCAATGATGTTTAGCCAATGCTTAATGATGAGCTGACTTGATATCTCTCAGTCTGCTTCCTCCAATCTGCAGAGCCACTCTAAATTCGCTCCTTCCCCCTCCATCTCCTCCTCCTCCTCCACTTCCTCTTCCCCTCCCCCTTTCCTCTTCCTCCCTCACATTTCTGGACACCCAGTAGTGACCATAGGTCATCATTTTGATCAATTAAGTTGAAATGGAATCTTCAGGGAAGAACTTCCACGAGGGAGATGGTACACAGTAAAGAGGGGGCTTTTTGTCTCGCTGGAATACAAATGTAATCTCAGGAAGTACGGTGGCCATTCTGCAACCATTAGAATAAACCATCATGCAACTGGCAAAACAGAGAGCATGGCTGAACAGCTACCCCATTCCTGAACTGCACACCCCAAATTCCATTAGAGCATAAAAAACAAGCCTCTTATCTTTGGGGTGTCTGTTACTTACAACTGGTTGCACAGTGAGTTGATCAGACAGGGATAACATTGATCTTATCCAGCTTGTAACATTGACTTTTAGGCATGTCCACAACACACTGTAGGTTTGTTGACTCAGGAAATGGATAAATAAACTCTGCCCCTGCAACAGCCTCTTACTGCAAGTATAGTGCCTATTTTGTGTGGTAAGCCCACGGAAACCAACTGAGGCCTCTAAGAGTTATAGCCGGGATATCTACATGGTTATTAAGATGGCCACACTCTGTGTGCCTGAGGTCATGATGCTCTGCTGGCCAGCTGGACTCCAAAGTCCTGAGACACACGTAGCTATTTCAGCTTGAGCCTTCCTTGCTCCAGAGAAGATACTTTTCATGGCCTGTATGATGAAATCACCTTGGAATAAAAAGGGATCACGAACCTACATCCCATTCTCCCATCACATGCTTGTTGTAATGCCAGGAGACGGAGGCTGGAGCTACTTTCTCTCCATTCCAGAGGCTTTCCCACGGTGGATGGTCCAGAGAAAAGATATTGGCAGGTGGGAGCTCAGAGCCAAGTTGTCTCTCTTGAGTCTCAGTTTCCTCATCTGTAAGAAGAGCTAAGAAAAGTCCTCTTCTAGAAACTCATGCCAGCAACATCTCTCTCCCTCTCTCTCTCTCTCTCTCTCTCTCTCTCTCTCTCTCTCTCTCTCTCTCTCTCTCTCTCTCCCATCTCTGTGTGTGTGTGTGTGTGTGTGTGTGCATGTTCATGCTAGTGTTCATGAGTACAGGATAAAAGTATAGGTGAACATGTGTCATAGCACATGAGAGGAGCGCAGGGGACCACCTCAAACATCAGTCCACCTTGTTTGAGACAGGGTCTCTTGCTCTCCATCATTGCATAGGCCAGACTATCCATCCCTGGAGTTTCTGAGATTATCATCTCTGCCCCCCATCTCTCCATGGTACCACTGGAATTACAGATGATGTTAGTACATCCAGCTTTCCCTGGGTTCTGGGGAATCTGAACTCTGGAGCTTTTGTTTGTGCATCAAGTAGCTTATCTGTTGAGCACATCCCCATCTCCACAGCTGACCAATGTGCTGGAGAGCCACAAGTGGCAGGCACCTCCAGGGAGTCTCCCGTATGAATCCTGAGGCCAGTCTTATGAAAGAAGTACACTAAAACAAGTGCATCACAGAGGAGACTATGCTGGGGTTCAGAGAGGTGGATGAACACCACACAGCTCTCCAGTGAAGGGGCAGAGTGCAAACATGAGTTTGTCTAAACCTAGAGGCACACTTGGAATGTTGAGCTGGCTCCACGCCTTTGTGTTACAGTAACATGAAGCCAGACCAACACGGAAGAGATGCTCAGTCAGCACAGATTAACATGCACTCACTGTCAAGTAGGTTAATATGGGAAATAAATAGGTGTTGGGGAAGTCCTGTGCATTTGTCAATAAATCACTGTCTGGCCAATAGGAAACCTAGATAGGAGGGACTAGGAGTCCAGGAGGACTCTGGGAAGGAGAAACACAGGAGTTCGAGATGTAGACGCCATGGGGTAGGAAGCCCGGAAACTTCTCCGGTAAGAGACATACTTAGATTAACAATTATGGGGTAATTACTTAAGTCAGAGCTAGCCAGTAAGAAACAAACAAGGCCAACAGCTTCATAATTAATATAGCCTCCTGTGTGTTTATTTGGGACTGATACGGCTCTAGAACCAGGCTGGCGGGAAAGCTTCACGCAAGGAAAAAGCTTCTCTTTACAAATAGGGAAGACTGTAAGAACACTAGAGAACCTGCCTCACTTCAGATGTCGCCTCCATCACACATTAGCTGAATGGCGCTAGAAAACTCTTTCACTCTGACCATCATGCTTCTTCTTCCGTAAATGGATATGGACACAGCGGATGTGATGCTTGGGGCTGTAAAGTACAAGCAACTCGAAAGCCCATTACCTGAGTGATGCATAAAGAAACTGTGGCCTGAGCAATGGAACATCCTACAACTAGGAAAACAAATAAAATGCTGACACATGGTGCAGCACCATTATTCCAAGTGCAAGAAGACAACGTCAAAAGACATCATAGGCCTGGAGAGATGACTCAGTGGTTAACAGCAGTTGCTGCTCTTGCACAGGGCCCAGGTTTAGTTCACAACAGCCACATCATGGATCACAACCATGTTTAACTCCAGTTCCAGGGTATCTGATGCCTTCTTATGACCTGCTCAGGTACCAGGCATACATATGGTGCACAGACAGACATGCAGGCAAAACACCCATGCACATAAAATTAGAATAAAGGAATCATGTTTTTTCTAATGTACCAGAAGAGACAGACTCATTAACAGCTGCATAGGGACATAGAGAAGATAAAGAATAACTGTAAGTGGACTTGAAGGTGATCTTGGGAGCACAAATGCTTTTTCAATAGATTATGATCATAAGGATAGTAAGTCATTGAGTCATTTGAATACACATACATTCTGGAGCCGGTGTCTGCTTTATCTGGGCCTGAATGAGGGGATGCTTGGGAATAACTGTATTGTTGAAGATGGGGAGACAACAGAAGTTGAAGTAACAATGACTGTAGTACCCTCTATACAATGAAAATGCCGGGTGGCAGATGTTGGTTTCATGGCTAGAGTACTTGCCTAGCATGCACAAAGCCTGGTTTGCACTTCCCAAATCACAAAATCACAGGTGAGACACACCTGTGATCCCAGCACTCAGGATATGGAGGCAGGAGGACCAAGAGTTCAAGGTCATCCACAACCATAGAATCAGAGGACAATCTGGACTACTTGAGGCCCCATTGAAACAAATAATGAACATTTGCTCAACTATGTTCAGAGCAGCATTACTCACAATAAGCAGATCTTGAAAACAGCTTAGATGCCCCTCAACTGAAGAATGTATAAAGAAAATGTGGTACATTTCCACAATGGTGTACCACTCAGTGGTAAGAAACAATGACATCCTAAAATTTGAAGGGAAATAGGCAGAACTAGAAAAAACATCCTGAGTGAGGTAACCCTGACCCAGAAAGACAAATACAGTATATACTTACTCATAAGTGTATACCAGACATAAAGCAGAAGATACCCAGCCTAAATCTACAACCCCAGGGAAGCTAGAACCCTCTTCCAGAAACAGATGGAAGCAGATGCAGAAATCCACAACTAATCATTGGGTCAAGTTTCTGGAGTACAATTGAAGTGAGGGAGGAGTGATAATATGAACAAAGGATTCAAGACCATGATGGGGAAACCCACAGAATCAGCTGACCTGAGCTAATGAGAGATCACTGACTCTGATCTGACAAGTGGGAAACCTGCATTAACACAGAACTAGACTCCCTTAATATAGGTGACAATGGTGTGACTGGGACAATATATGAGGCCACTGGCAATGGGTCCAAGATCTAAACTCTAATGAGCAAACTGACTTAGTGGAGTCCATTCTATATGGAGAGATGCCTTGCCCAGCCTAGATACAAGGGTATGGGGAGTGGGGAGGTGCCTTGGTCCTGCCTCATCTAGATGATGGGACGCACTTAGTAGACTTTTCCTAGGGGAGCCCTTACCCTCTCCAAGGAACAGATGGGATGTGGACAGGGAGGAGAAGAGGAGGGAGGAGAACCTGGGATTGCAATGTAAAACGCAAATTAATAAAAAATGTTTTAAAAAACAAGCAAATAAAAAAGATTCTGGATTTGATCCCTAGCATTCCATTAAAAAAAGGAATGACAGAAGTGGAGAGGAATAGGGGAAGGGCAAGGAGGAGGGGACACAGAGGAGAGGGAAGTGGGGAAGGACCAAAAAAATGCCTGCTATATGTCAGATACCCTCTGCAGCACTGATTGTAGTCAGTGTAACAGTCCAGGAAGCAGCTATGTCCACTGTTAGGTTGGTAGTGTCCACACTCACCACTGGCCTCAAGAGATTGGCTGCCTTCCATGGGACCTGCTGTCTTCCTTGGCCATGGGTTTCCAGGAAATCAGGGGCCTAGTGGAGCCTCAGTTCCTCCGTCAGTGTGAAGGTGCTCCCTCAGTTCCTCCGCCAGTGTGAAGATGCTCCCAACCTCAGGATTGCAAGACCGTGACCTGGAAAGAATAGTAAAATGCTGACTGAGTTCCAGGCGGCCCGTGGGAGCAGATGGCCAATGATTAACTCTAGTTATAAGCTTGGAGTGTGACCTAACAAGTTCACACAGCTCCTGAAATATGAGCTGACATTCATACCCAGGGCTGGCTCAGAGCTCAAAGCCTTTGCAGGTGCCCAGGTATTAATCTGAGTGATTAGGTCTGACATCGCCTCCTACCCCAGGACCTTGGACAGCAGCCAGCCAGCACCATCTCCTGGAAGCCTTTACAATACTAGAGGAGACCTATGTCTCCACACATCACTAATGCCGGAAGTGCTGCATCAGTACCCAGCACTACCTCCCACCAGCTCCCCAAGGCCCTCTTAGGCCAGAGCAAAGGAGGCATTGACGGAAATTCACTGATCAAGATTCTGCACACTGCAAGGACGGCAGGTGGAGGACCAGAATCAGAACCCAGCTGGTCCCCAGGGACACTGCATGCCTTCCTTCACCAGTCAGGCTCTGCAAGGACAGATGACAAGAAATGAATCTGGCCCTTCCTCCTATGGGAGAGTTATGAGAAGTTGGGGGGAACGACAGAGAAAGATAAGCCAGCATCTCCCTTCCTTGACCTCCAGCTGGGCCGCCCCAGCATCTCCTCTCTGACCTCTGGTTCACTTTATACCAAGCATTCCATCCTCTCTGACCTCTGGTCCAGCCTCACCCAGCACCTCCTTTTGAACTGCAGCTTATCCTCACTCTGAAATTACCTCTGTTACATCTGGTCCATCCCTATATCACCCCGATTCTCTTGCCTCACTCTAACATCCCTATGACCACACTCAGTGCCCTATAGCATCCAATAAATCTCTCCTTCGCAAATGCCTTTATTTAGCCTTCCTTCATAAGTCCTCTTTACCTTATCAGATACTATTCTCACAATTTTCAGAGGTTGAACTATGGACGTCTTTCATGTGTCATGGTTCTGTCCTCCAGGAATCCTAACTGTATATGGACTTACAGTGCCTCACTGTCGGAGATGAAGGACATTCTGAACAGTACAAGGGTTTGGGATGGGATGTGTCTTGATTGGTTCCTGTGTTGGAAGTTTGATCTCCAATGTGGTAAAGTTCAGGTCGTGCACTTTTAAGGGCTTGGATGTCCCAGGTCTCCAAGGGTGTGTCCTCTGAGGAATTGGTGCCTCGGACACTTTTGTTTTTGTGGTGATGGAAAAAATAACCCAGGACCTCATGAAAGCTAGGCAAGTGTTTCAGCATCAAATCATAAACCCAGAATTCTGAGAGGGGTTTTCATACTGGGAGCAAGTCCAGGAATACTCCCCACTCTAGATGCCTATTGGAAATGGGGCTGCTCCCCCACCATGTGCTCCTGCCACCACCCACCATGACACAGTTCAGCCAAGGGCCCTCTCCAGAACCCATCTCCTGCAGGCTCCATACCCTTGAGCCTCCAGATCCACTAGCTCAATAAAGGGCCTTACTCTGTGAAATTAGGCAGCCTCCGGTGAAAGGAGTGACTCGGGTAAAGACATTAAAACAACAGAGACTTCCCAGGCATAGTAGCATGGACCTGTCAATCACAGCTACTTGGGAGGCAAGGCCAAGAACACTGAAAGTTCAAGGGTGGCTTGGACTGCACAGCCAGATCCAATCTCAAAGACAGAGAAGGGGGATTCTAACCGTGTTCATCCAATCTTCATGTAATGGTGACTAGCCTTTGTTGTCAGCTTGACTGGATCAGGGATCAACTAAGAGTCCCACTCTGGACACACTTGTGAGGATTTCTTAGTTAGGACAATTGAAATGGGAAGACCCACCCAAATATGAGTGGAAATTTCCACTAGCAGCCCAAATATAAGGAGACCAAGAGAAAAGGTTTAGCTTTTTGCCTTCGAATCATGCTGGCAAGTTCATCTACTTCCACAGCCCTCCAGGAATCACCCAGGCCTTCAGTACCAGACTACGGCTGCTGAGGCATGCAGCCTCCTGGACTGAGCAATTACTGGGTTCTCAGCCTCGCCAATGTGCAGATGGCATTGTTGGACTACTCAGTTAATATTTCATAAGTCGATCAAATAAACATCCTTGGGAAAATACATTCATTCTGTGGGTTCTGTTCCTCTAGCAAAATCCTAACACTGTGCTAACACAAGGACAGAGGAATCAAAAAACAAGCCATCGAAAGAGGCTTTAAAGAAAGACAAATTGTGCGAGACAAATCAGGCAAGCTGGGCTTCAGGATGCTGAACGCCTCTTTGCATCACTGCCTTCCACAAAGTGTGTCTATGAATGCAAGGCCAGAGAAGGAGCTTAAGCAGTCAGGCAGTGTCCCCAAAGCAACCCAGGCCACATGCAGCTACACACCATGAAGGTCCCAAGAACTAGGCCACTTATCTCCAACACAGCCATGTGAATGTCTGAGGTCCCAGTGAGCCCCGGTCTCCCCACTGGACACAACGGCTGACCACTGGTTCCAATGAGCTAGCCTCTCCCTAATCCACCTCCATGCTTCTCCCAAGGCCTGAACTTGCTATTTTTGTTTTGTTTTGTTATTAGACTATCTTTACAGTACTTCAGGGTCATAGCAGAAGTGAGGGGATGGTACCATACACCCCTGTGCCACCAAGCATAGCCTCCCCCATTATCCACATCTCCTGTCAGAGTGCTTTACTGGTTAAATTGGTAAGCCCGTTGGCCCGTGTCCTTCACTCGGAGCCTGGAGTGTTGTTGAGAAGCACTTTCTCAGAATTTCCTCAGCAGGCAAGGGTAATAAAGCGTCTAGACACAGGCCGGACGAGCCTGCCTCAGGCACCCTCTGCTGAGACTCACTGTCTACACAGAATCCTCCAGAGGAACAGCAGTGGAGACTCCTGGGTCACTGGGCTGTGAACGAGCAGACAGGTGCATCATAAAAACAGTATGCCATCCTTTTAGCTTGGGAGAAAAGGGAAATAAAAGCAGGTGAATGCCATTAACCTGTCAAGAGCATGTCTTCTAATGTCTTCAGGCACCGGGACTTGAGAAATGGAGGATGCTGTTATAGCCAGGGTGCCACCTTCTTCCCCAATCCCTGCACGGTGTACAGATTATCAAGCACTCAGTAATAGGCACTTTCTGCTATGCCCCGGCCGGTTCTTCAGCCATGCTGACTCCATTAACCCTGTGAAGACCGCAGTGTCAGGACCCTCTGTGGGATGGAGTGCATCGTATGTTTGCATGCCTATGAAGGCCGGAGGACAACCTCAGGTGTCACCCTTCAGGGTGAGGACATTTTGGTGATGGGTCTCTCACTGACCTGGGACTCACCAGTTAAATTAGGGGGGCTGGTAAGTGAGCCCCAAGGACCTCCCCATCCCTGCCACCCCAGCACTGGGGTAAGTAACATCATGCCTGGCTTCAAAAAAATTTTGGTGGGGGTGATGGCCTGGAGAGATGGTTCAAAGCTTAAAGCTGAACTGCTCTCGTGGAGGACCCAAGTTTGGTTCCCAGAATCCACATAAGGCTCACAACTAACTTTAACTCCAGGTCCAGGGGATCTGATAGGCTCTCTGGTCTCAACAAGTAGGCACAAGTATATGATGCACATACACACAGGCAGAACACTCTTGCACATACAATAAGAATAAATCTTTAATTTTCCGTTAGTTTATGTGAGTGTGCATGCATGTACGGGCATGCCACAAGAATGTCGATGTCAGACAACAGTTTGCAGTATCAGTTCTCTCCTTCCCAGATGTGGGTCCTTGGGATCAAACTCATGTCATTTCAGCTTGGCATCAGGCACCTTTACTCACTAAGCCATCTTGCAGGCCCACACCTAGATTTTTACATGGGTTCTGAGACTTGAACTCAGATGCTCAAGCTGGTATGGCAAGCACTTTTTCTCACTGCCATCTGTCTAGCTCTGCTCCTGTCTTACAGACAAGGAGACTGAGTCCTAGCCCACTGTAGCCCTTGGAGTTTTGTTGTTGCTCCAACCCACAGGCTGAGTACTATTGAGGTGGATTTTTTTTCCATAAGGGGATTCTGTGCTTCCGATGCCCCCACTCAGCCCTCCTCCACCAGGTGAGTGCTGGGGCTAGCCTGGTCACAGGTGACAGAAAGCATGGTTCCTAACGCCCACTGACTATTATTTGAGTTACTTTTATGTGGCTGTGACAGGTACTTGACACAGCTTGAAAGGGGAAGCAAGGTTTGTCCTGGCTCACGGTTTCAGACCTGCCAGTTCTCTGTGGTGAGGAGGTCACCATGGAGCGGTTTACATCGTAGCACGCAGGAAACAAAGAAACTTGAAGGAGAATCCAGGCAGGAAATGGGCCCCCAGGACATGCCCCTGGTAATCTACTGCCTCTGACCAGCCCCCCCCACCTCTCTCTCCCTCCAAATAATGCCATCATATTGCAAAGATAGTAAGAGACGAGCCCATTAGTTGGGTCAGAGTTCTTTCTGTTCTTTCTTTGTCCCTTTCTTTCTAACAAAAATCAGACATTCGCACGCAATGCCTCGTCTGGTATGTCTGCAGTCTTGCAAGTCTGACTTCCCTCTGTCTCCTACAAATGGGCTTTGGAGGCTAATTTGGAGGTTCCAGCAAGGGGAGCTTCTCATCTACCTGAGACAAAGACTAGCTTCTTCTGTCAAGGAAGGGCAACCTCTTGACAGAGCATACAGGTTGTTGAGGGAGGAAGGGGATGCCTGCCTAGCAGCCAGATCAGCAGATCAGTCCTAGTAATCAGTGGGTGACAAATGTCTCAGCCCGATCAGCCCTGCCTCCAGAGCCCTGTGTTCTAATCCTCTCTGGAAGATTCGTGGACACCATCAGGGGTATACATAAATATGCTAGGTATTTTTTAATCCAGTAAAATTGACCAGTGAGTTTAACAACCATGAGCTTGGGTCATATACCTCTGGTATCCAGTGTTTCCTGGTACCAGGAACTGGGTTAACTATGTTCATGCGTGGTCTAATTAAAAACCACATGCCTTGG